GCTGAAACCAAAATGTTCCCTAAAAGTCTACTTTTTTGGAGTAGGTCTACTCCAAGGTGGCCAAATATGGTCAGGAATGTCATTCATAGAACATAACCTCTTCCGGCAGCATCTCCAAGAGGCACTTTTCACTTCTTCTGAGTCCCAGACTTGTATTTCCAGCCATCTCGTTCACATTTTCCCATGTAACCTTTCATCTAGAATCAGACCCTTCTCTGGGCTAACTTGCTTTGGTTACTAGCACAGTATTCATTCAATGAGCCGGGCTTAGAATTACTCAGAGTCACGGACACTTGATCATTACCCCCAATTCCTTCACTGTGAGTGGGGAACCAAAGAGAACAGTGATGCTGCCAGTTGTTTGTGGCCTTGTTGACAAAACCTGACTTTGAGGACAGTCCCAACAGAACTGCCACAGGTTTAGGAATGTGGCTTCCTCTCCCTCCTTCCGCCCCTGTTGAGTGCTGGCATTGATGATGATATCCTTGCTCACCTTACTCATTCTACATTCACTGCCAAGTATTCACTGAGGCACCCCACGCCCCAGGCATGGCTTTAGGCATTGGGAGAAGGATGGCTAACGAGTCGGACTGGGCCCACAGGGCTCTGGAGCTTGCATGCTGGAAGGGAAATGCTCATGAGGATCGTGAAGCCAGAAAATCTCTTCGTGTGTGCTACAAGGAGCACAAACAGGGTCACGTCCAGGGATGAGGGGATAACCACAGAGAAGGTGGTGAGAAGAGAGCACTGTGGGGAGTGATTGTGGAGCTAAGATCAAAATGTGATGGGAGCCAGTTCCCAGTAGAGGAAATACCCGGTACGAAGGGTGTGGGATGTTCGACAAAGCGGGATGTACAAAGCTGAAAGGAGGTCTGGGGCAGAGGGAAGGGGCCCTGGGCAGTCGTAGGAAGGAGTCCGAACTTTATTCCACAGAAGTGCCAAGCTTCTTTCGTGAAGAAACGGACTTCTTAAACACAAGGATCAGAACAGATAATGAAAGGTGACTTGTGATCATTCAACTTTATTTACATAGGTTTTTTTTTTTTAACCTACATAGGTCTTTTAGGTTTTATCCAAAGAAAAAAATCGAATCTGTATATATCTGTATAATATCTAATGGTAAAGAAATAACGGCAATAAAAAACCCCATTGAAGGAAAGAATTTAGTCAGTAAAATCTTTTCTAGAAAGATGTTGGAAGTCATTATTATTACTATTCCAAGAATCCTTATACACACACACACACACACACACACACACACACATACACATCCCTATGAACTCTCTCATGACATAAGACAGTATTTTATGAAGTTATAAAAAAAATCAATATTGCCTGTCAAGTACTATCTCTTGCATGTGTAACCAAAACTGTAAGGTTACGTGAACAAGAAATCAAGAAATCCCTGGTGTCTATTACAGAAAGCTTTTAATAGAACTTGCCTTGACAATTTACTCCTAAATCTTCCTTTTCCCCCCAGCTCAATACCGTATTGCTGCTTAATTTCACGACGGCACAGAGCTGTTTTTTAGGCACTACTTGGGGAATAAGTATTAAGAGTTCAAGCAAATGCAAATGATGTTTTCGGTACCTTTTCTCAAAAGATTTCAATGAGAATACAGACTATAATATTCAGCTGTATTATGTGTATATAGGTCCTACAGTTGTATGTAACTCGGTATCCTTTGTAGCATGTAAGGGAAATGGTCCTAGTATTATTATCTGGGCTTAAAACTAGGGTTTGCCTTGCAAGTCTCTATCAGGGATTGATAACCTTGTAATGCTGGAAACCACAAGATATTATGAAACATTGTTTGATCAGTTCCATAACGTTTACTACCCCTATTCTCCAACCTCAGGGGAAACATGACTGAATTCTAGAGATAAACTTACTTATTGTTAGACGTGAACGCATTTAGGAATCTCCCCACCTCTGTCCGAAAACCTACTTGAGTCTTGACAACTCAATTTTAGGTCTCCTTAAATAAACTTCCTTTTAGCAGCCCCCTATTTCCACCCCTAATTAAAATGATGAACTGGAGGGGCCTGGGTGGCTCAGTGGGTTAAAGCCTCTGCCTTCAGCTCAGGTCATGATCCCAGGATCCTGGGATCGAGTCCCGCATCGGGCTCTCTGCTCAGCAGGGAGACTGCTTCCCCCTCTCTCTCTGCCTGCCTCTCTGCCTACTTGTTATCTCTGTCTGTCAAATAAATAAATAAAATATTTAAATAAAATAAAATAATGAACTGGAAGGGGAGCGTTGGGTGGCACTACTTGCCTTGAAAGAGATGCGGGGGTCCTACTCCCGGGGATGGGAACTGTAAGCAAGGAGCAGGCATCACAGGTCGAAGTGTTTATGGATGTGGGCAGAGCCGGGTCCTGTGGTCCATTACCGGTTCACCTCAGTCTTCCAGTCTCTGCTGCGGAATATTTTCTGCCTCCAACCATCTGGACGGGCTTTGCCACCCTGGACTGGGTGCGTCTGGGCTTTGCAATCCCAGGGATCAAGTCCCAGGGCTCCCAGCTCACACCGGGTTGCTGGCCAGTCAGGTTGGTCAATGGTGCAGAATACTGTAATATTGCCACAGGCTGAGCTGGTCCAAACCTCCCATCCACGAAAAAAGGTTTTCTAGGAAAGAGATGATCGTATTAAGGAGCACGGGCTGGACGTCTGGACTGCCAGCATCTCGAGGCTGGACTGCCTCGCTTCCCCACTGACAAGGGGTGTGATCTCAGCCAAGGAGCCCCGCCTCTCTGAGCCAAAGTACTTAAAAAAGTACTTAGCTTGTAATAAACATTCAACACCACAGTGCTTAGGATCATGGAGGATTTTATTGATTTCTACAGCATAAGGCACTTATTATTTAATGTGCTTTTTTTTTTTAAAGAAAAAGCAATCATAAGTGAATGCCTTGGTAAATAGCTATTATCAGAACAATACACGCTCATCTCCAAAATCATTTTTTTTTAAAGATTTTATTTATTTATTTGACAGAGATCACAAGTAGGCAGAGAGGCAGACAGATAGAGAAAGAGGTGGAAGCAGGCTCCCTGCAGAGCAGAGAGCCCGATGTGAGGCTCGATCCCAGGACACTGGGATCATGACCTGAGCCAAAGGCAGAGGCTTTAACCCACTGAGCCACCCAGGTGCCCCTTCAAAATCATTTCTTTCTGAACCAATCAACATCAGGAAATACCGCTGGTTACTTTAAAAATGGTGAGAATTTCGTATGGTCCCTGTTCTTCGCGTATCTTTGCCGTGTTTTGAATCACTTCTTTTACGTATCAGGTTTGTGGGGAAGGGGACTTAGAAGTTTCATTTCCATTACTCTGAATTCTCTCCACTCTGCTCCCCGCAACTCAAGTGCCCCAGTCTGCTGAGCCCCTTGCACACATCACTTAATGCAGAGGGCCCCACTGGTCCTTTGGGATTCCTCTTCCCTGTGCCCCCAGCAGCCCCACACACCTGCACAGACGACTCTGGAGTCTGACTCTCAAAGTCAGCACAAACCAGGCCCCAGATGTGTGGCTTATTACCTTGTACTGAACTCCTGTTCCTGACCTCTTCGATCCACACCTGTTGTCAAGAAAAATGAATGGGAAGCCAGACTGCGGCAAAATACTAAAACAGGGGCGTTCTAATTTTGAAATTTTAAAAAAATTTTCCTGTGCCAAACACAATGAGCTCGGGCGCATCACTGACCTGTCGCATAATTAACTTCCTGTATTTTGTTCCTTATGAACTTACATATCCAATTATCCTTCTATTTCATGTCTCACAGTTTTGCTACATTGACTAAAACTTCTTTAACAAGGAAGACTTCTGATTTAATGGACTTTGAAAGTTCGTTTGTAGCTGGTCATTTGGGTCTGATGGCGCTGGCACGGCCTGGTGCTGACATGTTCCCAGCAGGAGGGAGTGCTTGAGGGTCCCCGCCGCGTGGGGTAACAGGGGCGCTCACACGGCTGTCTGCAGGCGCAGAGAAGTGGCGGCAAGGGAGCTCCCGTAACAACGGTGCTGACTTTAAACCACCCCCGCTCCTTTGTCAAGGGGCACTGTACCCCCTCGTTCATATCATCAAAGTCGGTGCTAATTTAGGTCACGGGGCTGAACGCACCATTTCTGCCCCCACCAGGGTTTCTGCTCTGTTTCTATTCAGAACTCTGCCTCGATGCCCCCTTTTCTGTCCGAGGGGACATGGCGAAGAGGCCTGTAAGTGGAGGGCCATTTCCACTGCACAAGAACGCCCACCTGTGGACCTCCTGCGCTGCTGGACGTGACCGTGAACCAACTCAGATGGACTGAGAGACGGCTCTTGGGGGGCTTCAGTTCTCGTCTCTGGGAGGAGGCTTTTAGAGACGGCCAATGTGTGGGCCAAGGAGGCTCTTGTCGTCTCCCGGAAGGCAGATTCAACTCGGACTAGCATCGACGGGGTCGTGACAACAGCAGGAGGGTCAAAATTTAATAGCAAGTGTTGTCTTCTCAGCTCCTCGTACAAAGAAACCCACGCGGCTCTGCTAACAGGACACAGTGATCTGTTTCATCAGGAAGGAAAGGCGATGACCTTTGTTTTTGTTTGGCATTCTGGGAGTCGTGGACACAAACTAAGACAATCAGACGTGGTTTGTTCACGGAATTATCAAACACCACACCTGGATATCAAGGTGGGATGGAGGGCGACAGGTAGATTTTTACCACACTTCCCAGTAGCGACTGGGAAGCAATCGACTTCCCAAGCGGAGCTGAGAAACACATCATTATGAGGATTGACTCAAACACCGAGACAGCGAGATTCTGACACCATTTATTCCTTTGTTTTCAGGCTTCCCCCACTCCCTGCTTTTTCAAAGGGAGGGCAGCTCTATTTTGAATATAACTTAGGGTAGGATGATAGGATCAGCTCTCTGAATAATGCAAAAGGACACGGATCTGCCTAGAATACTTTTATATTTCAACAGGGGGCCGTGCGCAGCCGCACTTCCTGGCAAAGTAAGAAACGAGTGGAAGTGGACTGTGAACAGACTGTCAGTGGCAGTCACTTTTCCTCCATCAGGCCCATGAGATCGGCTTCTATCCCCTTCTCACTCAGCTCATCCAAACTGTAGTATCGGTGAATGATCTTCTTAGCGGTGACCACCACGACTCGGAGCCCGTGGGTGTCTTGGCCCAGCTGGCATCCGATGGCCGACGACACCACCATTTCGAGGTTCTGGTAGGTGCCTCCGGCATTCCGGTGGTAGTGGCCTGAGAACACAGCTGTGACACCTGTGGGGGAGGGAACAAGACATTAGGGGGCCAAGGATTTCCATTTCGGGAATTTGCGGGCTCCGTGAAGGCCTTCCTTCTGAGATCAATATGGTATGTTGTGCAATCAAATGCATTAATATCACTCAGTGCATAATAAGCGAGAAGACTCCATATGTGATGTCCAGAATCCTCTCAGGGATAATTCATCAATACAACATCCTAACACATTTGTCGTAAGTGGTACAAGGAAGGGCTAGGGAACGAGAAGAGAGAAGATAAAGGGACTGACTTCGGGACAGATACAGGAAGCGGAAGGAAATATTCTGAGGCCTGCATAAACAGCCTTCTGATGGGAGTTAAATGTCTACAAGAACGACGCTCGTGGAGCTCTAATCAAGACAGCACAGCAAGCTCTGCACTTAACGTAACTCCTCCACTCCACACTCGAGAACAGTGATGGCTAAAATCTACACGAGAAAACCGAAGGACAGAAGTCGCCTCGGAATCAAAACCAACAGCTCCATGCATGAGAAACAAGGCAGAAAGGCAGGGTAATGAGCGGGGTCACGGTGCTGCTGGGAGCGAAGCTCCTGGAGGGTGAGAGAGGCTGCAAGCAGTTTCTGTGACAGAAGGAAATAAAGGCCGGCCCCTGCTTGAAAGAGGGCAGGCACGGGAACCTGTGTTTGTGGAAAGGGAATGCAGGAGACCCTGGCCGCTGGGTACCTGGGGCTAGGGCCGCGGTAGGCAGGGGTTTCTTACAAGTCCTCCAGAAAATAAGGGAGAACCAATTTATAATGTTTGCTCATCTCCCGTGATTAGCGCTCTGAGGGTGGCTCATTTTAAACTGCCGACGTGATGTCACTGCCCTGACGAGGGAGGGGATGGATGGTAGCATGCTGTTCTATAGTGCTTCTGCTACACAGACACAGAGGCTGCGAGCTGCCTAGCCAGCAGGGTAATGGCAACACGTAGCAAGAAAATTAGAAAATAATCAGTTTTCAGTATTTATTACCGTTGCTTTTTAATATAATTTATTTAATGGTGATTTTGTAGAATTTAATGCTTACTACGGCTGTTTCACAAGTTGCTCACAACATTCCTTAAAATTTAGTAACTGGTTTTCGTGAACTGGGCAGGAACTGTCTCCAGCAGAGCACTGGGCGAGGGCTGGTAGCGATCTGTGGGTCTAGGAATGAAGGACAGACACAGGCTCAAGTCTAGGAAATGAGACATGTTTTCTCCGTGTTACTGTGGGCAAGGGCCCTCAAGCTCTACTCTAAGACCTGGCCCCGGGGAGGGGTTGGGGTGAAGGAGACCCAAACCACTAGACAAAGAGAAATTATTCAAGACAGAAAGTGAAGGAAAAACCAAAGCTGAAATCACCTCTTACTCAACTGAATCTGAAATAATAATAATAATAATAATAATAATAAAATACCAACACCTTGTGAAGAAATCTCATACTAACTAAGACAGTCTACAGACTCCTCAATCAGGAATATGAATTCACTCCAGGTGAAATGAATGATATGAAATTGCCTGTAAAGTATTTAAAATGACTATGTTTAGGGCATCAGAAAGTCCTTAATAAAAGACTGATATCTATAAAAAAAGAACCAGGTGTTATGAAACAAAACAGGCACAATTTCAATGAGAATAACTGGTAATGAAAGCTGAGAAACAGTGGCCATTAAAGACAGCCATTAAAACAGAACACAAAGACAACTCTCAATAAATGGGATAAATTCTAAACTGGACACTAATCAGAGAGGAAATCAGTGAATTAAAAGACAGAATGGAGGCACTGAACCAACCAAAAGACAACATGGGAGACTCAGACACAAGCAATAAGAACATGTGGTTCAAAGAACCCAAAGAATGGATAAAGACGTATCAATGGATGCTTCAGAGGAGGTGCAACAGGAGAAAGGAGGAAATAATAATAGGAGTAACTTGAAGAAACAACTCCTGGGAATTTTCCAAAATGAAGGGATATATGGGCCTTCAGATACAAAGTACTAGGTAGGATAAATAATAATCAATTTGTATATATATCTATATATCTATATATATATATATCATGGTGATATTGTGGAGCATCCAATAACAACAACAACAAAAACCCTAAAAAGATACGGCAAAAATACTATAAAGGAATGACAATTAGACAGCAGGCCCCCCAGCAATAACAGAATGAAAGAGTAATGTCTTCCAGTGCTGAGGGCAAGCGACTGTGAACCTCCGATTTTATACCCAGCTAAACCATCATTCAAGTTGAAGGGCAAAAGAAATATATTCTGGGGCATATGAAGACGAAGAGTTTACTACTTCCAAACCTTCGCTGAAAGAATGATTACAAGATACGGTTCAGCAAGGAGAGGGTGAACTATTAAAAAACAGTGATGTGCTAACACTGATAAAAATATTTTGGTAAATTTAATTAACTACTGATTATCTTTGAAAACCTCTACTTTTTAAATGTAAAACTAGAGCTCAAGAACATCAAGATGGGAAGTTCAATGGATAATTAAATCACATAAAAGCTACTGTCACGTTTGAAAGGGAGATGAAAATAATGAAAATAATTATATTTTGCTAGAAAAAAATGCATAATTAACATGCTTCTTAAAAATGTTCAGGCACAAGCAACCAAATTAAAAAGAGGCAAACTGTACTTCATCAAAATTTTAAACTTTTGTGCATTAAAGAACACCATCAACAATATGAAAAGATAACCCATGGAATGGGAGAGAATATCTGCAAACCATCTATCTGATAAAGGTCGAACATCCAGAAAATATGAAGAGATGAATATGAAAAATATGAAAAAATGTTCGATGTCACTAATCATCAGTCCAATGAAAATCAAAACCATAATGAGATTTCACTTCGTCTCCACTAGGATGGTTATCATCAAAAAGATGGAAAATAACAAACATTCACAGGGATTTGGAGACTTAGAACCCGTGTGGAGGGCTAGTGGAAATGTAAAATGGGGCAGTCATTCTGGAAAACACATTGGCGTTTCCTTAAAGTGCTAAACATACAGCAACTGGTGACCCGGCAGTTCCACGACTAGGCATCTACTCAGGAGAAGGAAAACACACGGCCACATACAAACCTGTGTGTGGCTGTTCACAACAGCATTATTCATAGCAGCCAAAAGAGCAGAAACAACCTAAAATGTCCATCTGAACTGATGAATGAACAAAATGGGGCACATCCCTATGATGGAAGCCGATGCAGCTGTCAAAAGGACTGAAGAGCACTGACAACGTGCTCCAACGTGGACTGACCTCGAAAACCTCACGCTCAGTGAGAGAAGTTGGATGCAAAGGGCCTCACACTGTAGGATTCCATTTATAGGAACTGCCCGGAGTAGGCAAATCCAGAGACGGAAAGATTATTGCTTGTCACGGGCTGAGGGAGGTAGGGGACAAGCACTGGTTTGCTAGGAAGGAAGCAGTAGTGGCTGCTAATGGGTATATTAAAACCACTGAATTTTATACTCAGCCACAGCAACTTCTTTTAAGATATGTCTCCAAAGGCAAAGGAAACAAAAGTGAAAATGAACTTTTGGGACTTCATCAAGATCAAAAGCTTCTGCACAGCAAAGGAAATAGTCAACAAAACAAAGAGACAACCCACAGAATGGGAGAAGATATTTGCAAATGAGAGTATAGACAAAAGGCTGATATCCAGGATCTATAAAGAACTTCTCAAACTCAACACACACAAAACAGATAATCATGTCAAAAAATGGGCAGAAGACGTGAACAGACACTTCTCCAATGAAGACATACAAATGGCTATCAGACACATGAAACAACATTCATCATCACTAGCCATCAGGGAGATTCAAATTAAAACCACACTGAGATACCACCTTACACCAGTTAGAATGGCCAAAATTAGCAAGACAGGAAACAACGCGTGTTGGAGAGTATGTGGAGAAAGGGAACCCTCTTACAATGTTGGTGGGAATGCAAGTTGGCGCAGCCACTCTGGAGAACAGTGTGGAGATTCCTTAAGAAATTAAAAACAGAACTTCCCTATGACCCTGCAATTGCACTACTGGGTATTTACCCCAAAGATACAGATGTAGTGAAAAGAAGGGCCATCTGTACCCCAATGTTTATGGCAGCAATGGCCACGGTCGCCAAACTGTGGAAAGAACCAAGATGCCCTTCAACGGACGAATGGATAAGGAAGATATGGTCCATATACACTATGGAGTATGATGCCTCCATCAGAAAGCATGAATACCCAACTTTTGTATCAACATGGACAGGACTGGAAGAGATTATGCTGAGTGAAATAAGTCAAGCAGAGAGAGTCAATCATATGGTTTCACTTATTTGTGGAGCATAAGAAATAACATGGAGGACATAGGGAGATGGAGAGGAGAAGGGAGTTGAGGGAAAATGGAAGGGGAGATGAACCATGAGAGACTATGGACTCTGAAAAACAATCTGAGGGTTTTGAAGGGGCGGGGGGTGGGAGGTTGGGGGAGCCAGGTGGTGGGTATTATGGAGGGCACATATGGCATGGAGACTGGGTGTGGTGCATAAACAATGAATTCTGTTATGCTGAAAAGAAATTAATAAAAAAAAGAAGAAAACAGAAGTAGTGGAAAAATATAGTGAATACCCAAAAGCTACAGAAAAGTCATTCAATAAATAATCAATATTTGAAAAGAATGCAAATTTTATGGTATAGCTCAATTAAAAAAAACAAAAAACAAAAAACGGGAAGGGGAGGAGGTCAGAATAACCTATGTGGTAGAGATCAGAGATGGAGACATCAGCACAAACTCATGTTTCCCTTAATACCAAGTTAAAGACAGAGAATGACCCAGGGAAACATTTACAGATGTGTACAGACACAGGTTAGTATGCAGACCCGTATCCTCGCTCAGTCCGCTGTCAGTACCAAGAAGCAGGGGCACACGCAGGCCATGAGCACCCCCAACGTCCAGATCTTGGTTTCTAATACCATTCTCCAGTAAAAGGCTCCTT